GAACTAGTGAATATTTGGTACAGTGCCTTCCTACATGGGAACACTAAGTTGACAAGTTTGCAACTTTTAGAATGCTACGTGAACACTTTCATTGCTTCATCCATGATACACCTGGAGTGAGAAATGCCAATAATGCTCAAGCAGCAATTAGAAAGAACTTTTAACAATGACTGTTGCAAGAAACTTCATGACATGCCCTGAAACAGCAGAAAAGTATAGACACAGTCCATCCATTCCTAAGATATTAGATAATGGCTCAGATATGATCAATAGCAATCAAATTAGCCAGAATGGAGCACACATGCACACTGCACTGATGGATCATTTCAGGATTACATTTTGTGTATTATAACCATTAAATTATTACTAATATACATATACAAAAATCTAAAGTACAGCTTTTGGATTTAGGCAGTCCAATATCAATACACTGCAGCTGACAACGTTTTCTTAGTATTAAATTAGATAAATCTCCCTGCACCCTACTTTACTAGCCAAGCACTTTTTATACAACTCTCAAGCCAGCAACCTTCTGCAATTTAAGTATGATTTAGTGCAAGAGAAGCAATGAGTATTATAAAATTTATGCTTGTTCACCTTCTCTCCCCACAGAGAAGGGCAAGACGTTTTTTCATGTAAATATGTATTAGATCCAAATCATTTAAATAGATATTATTCCATAGAGAACATGATGCTGCATATGCCCATTTCAGCTCCATGTTACTAAATAAACTGCAAGATAATGATGTTGCCTTGCTCATCCTAAAGGACACTGTAAATATTTCTAGGCATTTTAAACAGAAGTAAAAGGAAGACACTTTCACAAGAAAAAAAGAAAAACTAGGGTGGCTCTTACAGAGCTTCCTAAAGTGAAGACAAGTTACTGGCAAATTAGGAACTCTCGTTAGGAACAGGTCACAGGTGCCACAGAAAATATATAGCTCAGGTACATGGAATCTTCACAGCATGAATAGCAAATCATTGCTATCATCCAATTTCATTTTCTTTTAAATGGAGAAGGGAAATATAATCACATTTGCAAAGAGAAAACCTAGAAACTTTAGACAGGTGACTACTTCTAAAAGTTAATGCAGAAATGCTAAATGCAGGCAGCCAAATGCTAATTTGTCTCTAATACGTCTCAGTTATATTTAGCTACAAGTGTCACTGCTTGAATGGAAGACAAACAGAACAGGGAAACCTTACACAGTGCCTTAAAAATGAGAGCTTTAAGCATAACTTTTAGGTGACTGCATCTATCTCCCTGTTTTTCTCAAAATGTACTGGAAGTTAATCAGCATCTCACACAAAATGCAATTTAAGTTTACAATTTATTTCTAAACCATGTATATATTTAAAGTGAAGAGGACTGTCATTTGATTTGAAGCTATCACATACCATTTGGGCCACAGTCAGTTATCTTACAATACAGTCTGACCTCTACTTGATTTTAAAATAGGATAATCACCTTCAACTGTGTGTGAACCTTGAACATTATCAAAAACAGTTTTATTGCATCAACGATTTATTAATAGTCTTATATTAATAGTAATGTAACTTTGACTTTACAAAGTCATAAAGATGACGAGAAACACAGTCAAGACTTATTGTGCTACCTATTTTATTTTAGGCTTCTAAGGCAACCTCATGACACAATCAGAAAAACCATCCTGAAAGTAAGAGCTACAAAGGTAAAACAACAGAATACGCATATGTCGTCCCAGTTGAACAGCAGAGCAGGAAGGATGCAGACAACATAATGAGTTCAGACAAATGCTGAAACCTTTCAAGTACCAAAACTGTCCTGCAGCCAGCTGTGCTTGGAACTGCAGAAGCGTTCCTGCTGAGGCAGGTAACCTCTGGACAGCACACGAGCAGCGGCTGCAGTAAGGAAGAGGCGTGAGCCTTACGTGGGAACGCGCTCAGCCAGATTCCCCTTCCAAGGAAAGCGCTGCAGAACGCCCAAAGCCTCCAGGCTCACATTCAAAACAAACCTGAGGAAGGAGGAAATGTTCTTCCCAGAGCGTTTCTGGTTCCCAACACTCACCGTGGCACCCCTGCCACGCGGTCACTTCTTGAGCTGCTGGCCCCATTGCACCACAGTTTAAACAAAGAGCGGCGAAGAAAGAACAATATTCCATAACTGGCATTTACAGCATCGGCCTTGGACTCCTAATCTTTACCAGACGGGCATACAAATCAATCTATCAGCTCGTAAAGGTATGCTTTTTAACCTCCAAAACAGATGGGATTGGCCAGAAACGTCTGGCATGTCAAACTGCTAATCGAGGCTGCCCTTTGCACAAAATAACCCACTTAAGTTGAGGCATGGTTGCACTGTAACAGACATTAGTCTGTGGGAAACCCATTTAACTGTCACATACTCCCGCCACTCTTGCTCTCCCTTAATTAAGCCTAATGCCTTATGCTTTGACCTTTTGTTCTAGCCTATTAACCCTATCTAGTACAAGTTCAAATATGTTAAACCTAAAAGTTTGCTTTTAATATTAAATGCCAAGCTACACAAAGAATGAGGGATGCTTCTCTACCCTGCAAGTTACCAACACCTGTGTTAGTCCCCATACACAAAATATGATCGAACACTAATCAGTTTAACAACAAAAAAAGTCGAGTTTCTTCCACTAGCATAACCTACTTTTTCCTCTTCAGAGCAGGGTGAAGTGGGAAAAAAAAAAAGTGAAACTTCTGCAAGCAACTTCATATCCTCAGGCTTTTGGGTCTTTATCCAACAAGAAAAGCACATGCTATCAGTCAAGATCACACTGCACTAATTTCCTGTTCTCTGAAACCCATTATTAAAAATAAGACATAATTGGTTTACAGTGACCAATTTCTCTTCAATTGAAGGCTGCCTCTGCCAACTCTCCTCACACTGAGTCACCATCTTGCTCTTTTGACAAGATAGTTACACTTACTATTAGTATGTGATTCTCATACCCATCTCCAGGTGAGTTGCATCCTTTGAAGTTTCTCAGACTTGCACAGACTTAAACAAAGACATAATTTATTCATTCTAGCTACACACTTTTCCTTTTATGCAAGCTCAAGTAAAGCATGGCTGCCTCCTGCTCCACTATCTCTTAATTCACGAAGGCTACACAACATAAACAAGAGCAGTAGATCTGTTGTTAAAGCAGTACTCTTTTGGAGAAAGACTACCCTAAGGGTCCAGAACTCTGATTTAAACAAGAACTCTAATTCCAGTGACAGTAACAAACCTCTGATCAAGACACTACTGGACTCCACAATAAAGCTATTTATGTATGCAAGCAAGCTTGGTATACCAACAGAGGTATTCCACAATTAATGCTCATAACTAGTAAACAAACCTATTCCCCACTCCAAAACACCAATGATGACTGCCCATAACTGCTTTATAATATAGGTTAGAAACAGAAAGAATGCAAACTGTGCGGGGATTACAGCCATGTGTACAAACACATTCTCAAATCTTTAGCTTAACCACCTTACTGACAAGTTGAACACTTAGTGCAACATCCTTCTTTACAGTTTATGTTTCTGCAACTCTGACTAAATAAAACTCCTTTCACAAAGAGGAAATAATCTTGAACCAAAGCTTTGAATTACTTTGAAGATGTGAAAAATTTCAAAAGGCTTGCTGCCACAAAAGCCACTGTCTACTAAGTTCTATTAAAGCTCTATAAGAGACCATCTGCTGCTGATCACAACAATTCTCCAGTTTTAAATTGCTAATTAATTAATTATGTTTTAATTCCAAAATGCCTGTCTTACCGATTCAGAGACCAGCAAGTAATACCATTAACTTTCCTGTAAATACAATTGCGCAGACAACTATAAAATGCACTACAGCAACATTCAACTTCTTTTTTTGAAAAGTCAAATAAAAATAACACTGTGGAGGGAAAAATGGATTTCTAATCTCAGTTTCTGGTTATTTCCAAAGCACTGATTCTGATTAAGTCCAAATCCCTACAATGTATATATTTTCTAATAATTTCACTTGGCTATATTCTATTGTGTTGGAGATGCTCAAACAGCACTACACCAATGTTGTATTTGAGTAAAGTCAAGCAACACATGGATTTATTTAAAATAAGAGAAAAATATATCCCTGCATCTGCAATCTGTGTCATTACAATGGATATGAGAAAGCTCTGCAGGCTGGGATTTGGTATGACTGCCTCCAGCTTCTAGACCTTCCCTACTAATGCTCACAAAAGTTGCCACTGGAGGCAATGCAAATGAGTCCTAAGAGAGACAAGAAACAAAACAACAACTGCTTGTCAACCATTACATGCCCAAATTGTATTCTTTATGCTCATCAGCATTCTCAAGTTCTTAGGCACGCATGTAGGCCCACCGAGGACAGTGGGGCTACTCAAGTGAATAAAATGACTCAACAACCCAAAGTCCATATACATAAGCAATCACTGGACAACACTCAGGGAATTATTCCCTGGTATCAAAGAAAAATAGGATTTAGGAAATGGGAACCAAGGGAGCAGATCCAAACAAAATGACAGCGATGCTAAATGTCTACAAGCCATGGTAATGTAATATCTAATAATGATTTTACTGTGACAGTCCCTTGCCACACAAGCTCAATTTGGATCTGTTTTATTTAAAAAATAACAGAGATGGAAACACAGTAAGTGTTATTTAATCTTCTCTTTCACTCTGAAATTACATGTACATCAAGTTCTTCACTATTCAGCTACCTCCCAAACAAGTGGGCTAAATCTTCAGAACTTAACAGCAAATTACATAGAAAAAGTTCAGACATTACAAAAATACTTATTTTTCTTTAATCAGCACACATATGGAAAAAAAACTCTTACAGTAAATGAGAGGGATTAACTTCAACATTTATCACTTCAAAACATATTATAATCCTAAAAGGCTTATACATGGCACACAGCTGTCTGACAGCTTTGGCAAGACAAAGAACAAACCCCAAACCAAAGAGACAAGGTAAACAACCCAAACAAATGATTTACCTTGAATGTGGTTCCATTAGGAAAGCTCTTCCTTCAGGAGTCCAAGGATGCATTAATTTTCTTCCTCAAAAATTTCATGCTTGATCTGAAAAGAACAGCAGAAATCACCCTATGAAAATCTACAAATCGTTCCTTCCTACCTAATGTGCCTTGATCTACTTTCTTACTGTTGGTGTAACAGAAAGCAATGCTTTATTTTGTTTAGTACAAACTGCAAGTAATATTTTTATATCAGAAGAAAAATGTAGTTCCAAACTTCAGAAATCAAAACCTTCCAGACAGAACCATGACTAAAACTAGTAGAAACAACTCATGTTGTCTGGACTTGCACTAAGGGACATTATTCTGCAAGAACAAAATCCACATTCAACTCTAAGCCAGAATCCTCTTTTCCTTCCTTTCATTCAAAAAACAGCTGTGACATGAAAGCCCTCCTTCCTATGTAGTGGTTACTGCTTAACACTTCAAACCTGCACCCATGAACATCAAAATCAGTTTCTAAAGAGCCTCTATTAATTTACATATACACAAGGAAAAGACAAGAGTATACTATAACAGGTGAGTGCAATGTAAAATGCAACAAAAAAATTAAACCAAGTAGAAGAAATACTTGCTTTTCAGAGATTTAACAATAGTATATAACACTATTTTATTTTGAGAATGCTATCCATCTATCCATTACAATCCCAACCCTAAAAGTTCTTCTCAGCATTTGTCCATTATTAAGTGAAATTCTGCTAAAGGTTGCAAACTTAGAGCTTGCCCAGATCACTCTTATTTCTACTATTTCAGCTTTGTTTTTGTGACAAGCCTCAGTATTAAAGGCCTTCGAGTTACCACCAAAGCAGCAAGCTTATTATGCATAGAGTCAGCTTTAAATACAATAAAATAGAGTTTAAAAAAATTTAAAAAAAGAGACTTTCCCCACCACTTAGCTGAACTTTCCCCTCCCTGCTTCTACTTGGCAATGGGAGAGTTCCTCTCCTTATTTCAACAACTTTAGCCTCTATTCCCACAAAAAATGCATACAAAAACTTTTGATCACAGAATTTCTCTAGCACTGAGGACCCCACAGGTGGGTAGGACAGAGGGGGAAGAGTGGGAAGTGTGTGTGCTGGGGGTACATCCGTGCATTTCATCTTCCACAAAACCACTTGGGTCCAAGCCAGATTAGAGGAAACATCTAACTCTTACCACTGCAATGTGCTTGATAACTGGGGAAAAGGATACAGGTGTTGACCAGTGGGTCATCACCCAAGAAAACACCTATTTAAAGCTTTCAGGGATATGAAATAACAGCAGCATGCTGGACTACTGCCAGCACCAAGACCTAACAAAAGATGCCCAGCAATAGAGCCAATTAAGCTGAAAAATAAGTAAATACCCTGGAACACTACATGAAGACACTATTTTAAATCCTTCTTCCATATACATCACAAAATGAAAAGGTAAGCTGCACCATAGAAGGGGCACAATCCTCAAAATCTGTATTCAGTTAGGAGGGGAAAAAATTATCTACCATCACAGTAAAAACTAACAGAGAAATTACATGTACAGTGACAAAGGTGCTAGCAAACAGTAAACACAGTTCAAAGCCTTCTCAACTCCATTTTACTGAAAAGGAAAATAAGATGGATGTGGAATCTCTTTTAGACAATAATAAACAGGACAAGAGGTCCCAAAGAGCAGAAGAAATCAGCATGATAAATAACAAGCCACCTGAATTTGAGAAAAATAGTTAATTTCACTATTACTGCTCTATGCTATAGACGTAGATAAAATGTTTTTCAACACTAAAAAGTGGGTGAATTTAATCATGCCTACTTCCAAGTGAAGAGAGATTGCAATGTAATAGGGAAAAACACAGAATAAGAAATAAAAATGCACTCCATAGAGTATTGCCATCAAGGTTCAATGTATAGATGGGATTTCCTTTAGGTCAGTATTCAACAGATTTTTTTTTTTTTTTTTTTTTTTTTTTTTTTAAAAAAATTTTTTTTTTTTTTTTTTTTTTTTTTATTGTTCCAAGTAACTACAAAAGGTTTATGGGAGTTCAGTGAAAAGCCAACAACAGATTTTGCTCTTTCTGGTAAAAATACCATATTCCTTCAGTATGTTTCAAAAATTGAGGAGAAATAAAAAACTTTTCCAGAGAAATATTTTATTCCCAAACTCTTTGTATCTGAACCACTTGCTTTACACACATTATGGTTTTTGGAATGTTGATTTGTTTTGTTTTATGGACTACCAAATGCAGGATAGGCGATAACATGAACACCACCAACAAGGCCATTTCCTGGGGCAAGAACTGTCATTTCTTTTTACATCTGAGGCAAGCCTTGCTTTTGACATCACTGAAAAGGCCTTTTCAGTTCACTTCCCTATCTCTTTTTACAGTGGGATGGGGCACAGAGAAGAAGCAGAAAGCAGGTAGATATGAGCCTTAAAAGTTTGGCATGGAAAAAATATCAGAACAACAATACCAACCAATGAGAACAAAAATACAGTTCATCTGTGAGCAAGACTTGCTGCTTGGCTACATTTCAATACAGAACTTCATGGACTATTTTTTTGGGGAAAATTAAATACTCCCTTGTTTATTTTCAAATGACACTTTGACCCAGGACTGGAACACATTTTACATCTAGCACCTGATCTCTTCACAAGGACTCCCTCACAATTTCCTCTCTTGAGAGGAGGAAGATCATCCCCTCAAAAATCTTTCCCAACACCGAGTTTCTCTCCTACTTTAAACTCACAGTCCTAGAAACCAGTGACTAAAACAGAAGATTTGTAGCTTCTGCTTTTAATCTGAGTTTGTCTACAAGCAACATTGGTTTTCCTCTGCTGAAGGCATTTTAGAAATAAGTAGTATGAAAACAGAATTTCACTCAAGACAGGCAATTAAACAAGAGCAATGAACTCCAATAACAATTTAAGTATGAGAAGACTATGCTAGGAGGGGTTTGACCCAAGCTATGATGTCTAGCAACTGCTTCTTCTCCTTTCTACACATGAATATTTATTTACGTGAGTTTTAGTTTCTATTCTCCTTCTTCAACCATCAAGCCAAGTGACCTGCAACAGACAGCCAAATAAATTACCAAATTAATTCTTTCAAGTGCTAAATAGGTCTGCAAGCATTTCCAAGTATTTGAAATAAATAATCCGGAAACCCTAAAGAGCAGGCATTCATCTTGACCAAAAGAGTCCCTCTGCCCACTTTTCCCAAGGAATATCTTCCCACTGGGAAGCACATGAGTTTTCACATGATCCCAGATGTTCACCCAGAAGGACTGGGTGCCAACCCTTGCATGCTGTTCTCTAATTCAGTCTTTTCTAATGCAACCAGTGAATCCTTAACACCAGAATGTGGAAAAGCAATGCCACAACCCTGCTAAACACCTTCCCCCAGCTCTCCCCCTGTTTGCTGCTGCAGGCCAGCTCAGAGTTACTGTTCTTATCGTTTTGGCCTGCTGGCAGGAAGAAAGAGCAAACCACAAATGCTGTTACCATTAACCTTTTTGTCTTTAGTTCAAGACTGTTTAGACAGACTGTCAAATTTATGCTTTCTATTTTTTTGTACATTTATGCATATTCTTTCACACCTTCTCCTCTTGCTCAGGCTTCATTCCCTACCTGTGTACCTTTCTGCTTGTTTGTCACTGCCTCCTCCTGAGCAGCAATGATTTATACTTCAAAATTTACACTTCTTGTCCCAAAAGGGTATTTTAGGATAGCTATCCTATTAACCCTGCCACCTGCTCACCACCTAACCCATCACTCAGCACGTGGGAGATGATCCCTGCCCTACCACAGGCCCCACACATGGGAGGGCGGCCACCAAAGCCCCCCCTGAAAAAGGGGTTTGTTCCCCCAAAACCAAGCACCCAGCTGGGAACCCCACACTTCCCCAGGCTCTCTTCTGGATTCCTTCCATTCCCTGTACATTCACACACAGGAAAAAGAAACACAACCACAAGACTTCTGGGGTTTGAAGTACAGGCGAGCTCTGAAGAGCTATTCTAAAATAATAATTCAAAGATCTTATGGTCTTTATGGTCTTTAGCACAGCCCTAGAGCAGGACAGCTGACCTGGGGAAATGCCTTGGGCAAGTTTATACATGTGCTGGGCTCAATGCAAAACAGGTTTTCTCTTTTATTGTAGTCATGTCCCGCACTGTCGCTGGTAGAATTAACAGTGCTCTCACTGCTTATGATAATAAAGCTGGCACTATATGAACTTTCTGCCAATGCTCAAAGCCTGAAAAATAAAGTTAGCTCTGAAGAGACAAAATAAGTTTTAAGCAAGCAGGACTCTGTCAATTCTTTTAAGCAATCCCTGCAATAAGCAAAACTACAGGCAAATACGAGCATTATAAAGTTAATTCATGTTTGAATTAACTGAATCACTTAAAAAAATGTCTTCATGCCTTTTACAGAACAGATTTATCCCAAACACAACTATCAAACACTGCAGGTGATACAGCCAGTGATTAGATCACCCTTTTAAGTTTACAATATAAAAGCATTATTTACTTTTACTTCTTTATCAACATAGTTTTTATGACTATAATAAATTTTGCTTAGCACACCTTTCACTTTAGAAAAAGAAACAAGCATGGGAAGCAGAGAAGAAGAGCATCTTTCCATCTGCAATTTTCTGCCAAAAGACTAAAAGGGAAAAAAACCCAAAAACCTCAATCCAGCATGGTTTGGCTTTTGACTGCATGTTGCATTCTGTGCATGCATGGCCTACAAAACCTGAAAGCCATTGATAGCTCTTGCTCATTAGGTAACCCAGAAGCATAGGCCAGTCTAACAGCAGGTCAGATTTCACCCTGCCCAAAACATGCAGTCACTACTCCTTACCTCCTCCATGGAACTCACAGAACACAAACACCCTCACATTCGCATTTCACTCATGATCAACTCAGTCTTCCTTCCGAGTCCATGTCAACTCTATCTCAGGAGACCACCGACAGAACAAGTCAAACTTCTCTACCACAAGTTTGGGAAAACAGCTGCCTCAGATAGCGAAAACCCCAAAGCTGCCTGAACACTGTTCTCGATGAGAACTTGTGCCTTCCAAGATGTTAGCTACTGATACCCATGGAGCAGAATTACTCAGATACCATTAAAATCTGATCCCAACCACAAGATATCCTCAGCTCAGAGAGCTTTTGTCATCTGGCATCTTAATGTGTCACTCTCTCATGTGTTCAGTCAGCCCTAGAAGCAGTAAATCGCATTTGTGTATTAAAGAAAATGTTCCCTACTCGCTCAGGAATACACCACCTCCTTTCCACAAGTGACTGCTTCCTCCCCATAGGTCTTCACAGATTGGATTCACACTCTTTGTTAAATAAAGCTTTACCGTATCTCTGAGCATTTATAGTGCCATGACTCAGTTAAATTCTAATCAGCCTGCGAGCTGTCTGACACTGCAGCAGGTCCCCTCAAAATAAAACAAGGAATAATATAGTCGCCAGATTCCAGAGAGATGAGGCAAAAGAGGACAACTTCCACTTCAGCCTTCTTAACAACAACATAATCCCAAAGCCAGAAATCCTGCTGTTTTTTCCCAACACCTCCAACATGTGTCAAGCTATTTTATCTGAATCCTTCTTTAAATTAAAAGCCCAGTAAATCCCCAGGAATACACAAGAGAGAAGAAGAAAGGTGCAGCACAAACACAAGGCTGTCTGCTCGCTACAACGCTGCCCCCGTTTTGCCTACACTACGTTTCCTTAGGTCTCACTACCTCCCAACTTAATCACCCGCTGACACTTAGAACGAAAAGCCTCAAACAACACGTTCTGCAGGGAAAAACGAAGGGTGGCAGTGGCAGGAAGAAAAAAAAATTAAAATTCACCTTTAGAGGGCTTCGGGGACACACCAAAAAAAAAAAAAAAAAAGAACCACCACGTCTGGAAAAGTAACCTTTAGTCTAGAAGGGAAACAGCGACGTCCCTAAGGAGCCCGAAGCGATGAGAAGGCATCTTTGGGGGGCGCAGGGAGCCGCGCCGCGCGGGGCCGGCCCCGGGCTGGCGGCGGGCCCGCAGGTGGCGGCGGGCGGGCAGCGCCAGCGCCGGGAGGCGGCGGGGCGGCGTGGCCTTGCCCGCAGCCCCGGAGCGAGCCCGCCCGCCCGCCGCAGCCGCGCTCCGAGCGCCCGCCCGCCCGCCGCTCGCACCGGGCGGGGCGGCGCGGGTCCCCGCCGAAGGGGCCCGGCCGTGCGCTCGGCGCGGGTCCCGGTGGGGGGGCGGAATAGTAACTTTTCCGTTCCGGCGGCTCCCCCAAACCCACCGCGGCCGGGCAAACTTTCCGCCCGCACCGCGGGCGCCGCCGCCGCGCCGGGCTCCCCCCGGCATTGTTCCCCGGTAGCGCGGCCCCGGCCCGGCCCGGCCCCGCTCGGCCATTTCCCCGGCGGAACAGCGCCGCGCTCACCCCGCGGCCGCCGCGGCTCCTCCCGGCCGGGCCGCCCGAGCCCCCCGGAGCCGCTCCGGCCGCAGCCGCCGCGCACGCCGCCCTGCTGCCGCGGCCGGTCCCGGCGCTGAGCCCCGGGGAGCGGCGGCTGCCGGAGCCGAGTGCCCAGGCGGGTCCCCGCGGCCGGAGGACAGGACGGGGCCGGGCAGGGCAGGACGCGCCGCCTCCCGCCACCCCCGGCCCCGCGCGTCCCCCCCGCCCCGCGCATCCCCGCGCACATACGGGGCGAGCCGAGCTCCGCTGCGCTGCTCTCCGCGGCTCGGGGCTCTGCTGCAATGCCTGCGAGGCTGACTTTCAAAGCCTAACCCGCAGCCGCGATCCTCCCTCTCCGCCTTCCACCTCGCCCGCCGCGGCGCAGCCCGGCCCCTCCCCGCGCCGCGCCATTCATCTCTCCAGCCAAGTTTCTTAACCCTTTGGTAACCTCCGGCAGGAGGCGGGGCGGGATGCGGGCACGCAGGGATGCGCCCCCCGCCCCGCCCGCCGCGGCGAGGGCAGGGCAGGGCGGCCGCCCGCACGTACGCGAATCCCAGCCCCTCCTGCCCCCTCTAATTAACCTGACTGAGATCGCAGAGCCTCCGGGAAACTCACGAGCGACAGCACCGGAGGACCCGTATCGGATGAAAACGGCAGTGGCTTATAAATAACACTTTATTTTTTTCCCTTTTTTTATTTTTCTTTTTCCTTTCCCCCTTCGGCTGCTTTGGAATAATAGGGGGGAGGGCGCTATTCGTGCTACTAGTACTTGTCAGTTTACAGCTTAAGTTTTCAGCCTTTCCTCCGAAAAAAAACCACGGGCTAGAAAGTTCAGTGCTATCATTATAATTATCATTATTGTTGTTGTTGTTACTACGCTATTTTGAAGGAAAAGCCGGGATGCTCCCGGCAGCGGCCCCGGCACCTGCGGCTGCTCCGGGGTGGCGCTGCCCCGCTTCCCGGCGCATCTCCTTCTCCCAGGGCACCGGGAGCGGCGAGCATCCCTGCCCGGCGCTCCCTGTGCCGCGGGGAAGGAGGACGGGGGGGCACACCAGCTCATTAAAGCCACGTGGCAAATAAATGCAGTTTAGGAGGGAAATAATAATAATAATAATAATAATAATAATAATAATAATAATAATAATAATAATAAACCAACCCGGAGCAGAGCAGTGCTTCCCAAGAAGAGTCAGCCCTATATTTTGCTAGGCGACGTCCCCCAAAGCTCTGCTGTCAGAAATTGCACGGAATGTCAAGTTGTTCTTTAGACTTTGCTGCCACCAAAGAGAGTACGCAGAGATACAGGCTGAGCTTGGCTGTACAAACGAAGCTACAAAGTGCATGCGACCTTCATCACACCTCCTGTGTGCCTGTGTTTAACAAACGTCTCGCCGTGTCGCACACTGTCTGCCAAACGCTTTACAGAATACTTCATGATACTTCACTTCTACAAGTCAAAGACTGACGAAAGAGAAACAAATTTGTTTGCAAGTCACATATAAACTGCATGGTAATTACTGCATTAACACATGCCCACCTTTTAGTTTTAAAACTCAGGTAAAATAAATGATCTATTCAAGCGTCTTTTTAGTGGGAGACTAATATTAAAGAGCACAGGAATTTCCACTTTAAAGAAAGCGAAAGGGAGTCACATTTATGAAAAGCTAAGTATTTTAACTGAGTGATAACATGAATGAAAGTAGATGTAGGAATGTTAAATAAAACCTCTCACTTTGGAATGTACAGATTGTGTACAGGCTTAGAGTGGAGCTAGTAATGTATTACTTGACCTATTTTTTTAAGCCAATGAAAGATTTAGGTTAACTTCATCATGTGTTTTTAACCACTTTCTTCCAGACATGCAGCAGCATTTTCTAAAGCCATTGCATGTCACAGTGTTTATACAAGTCCCTTTTTTTAAGAGCATAAGTCTCATAATATAGCCTACTTGTACTTCCATGAAAAGAATGGGTTTTCTCTTCCTTTCCATTATAGGCTCATGAGCAAATTTTGATCGTAAAGAAATTATCCCTAATTTTTTTATTTCACAAAGAATCTTCATCTCAAATTTTTTTCAATGCTAAGCAGCTGAGTTATCTGGGGAAAAGGAAATTTTCTCATTACTGCAGCAATTTATCTGCTATTTCAATCAAGAGTGTCTGTAGTAGAGACGTCTTTCATTCTTAACCTTAGGGAATGTATTGCGTAGATGAGAGACCTACAAAATGAGGAATCTTGGACAAGCAACATAAAAAAAAAATGTGTGTGTGGAGTATTTGTTAAAATGATTGTTGTCTGGTAACATATAGTTGCTTGAGGACACAAGTTTCAGAAGATACAATCAACGGAGACTGTATTAAATAATAAAACATAAAGATTTAGTAGGTTGTTTCCACTGCTTAATAGTTGTATCACAATGAATTGTGCCGCTAGTCCATGTTTACTTAACTATGAGAATTCAAACAATATACCGAATAAATACCCTGTACAAGTAAAGGAAAAAAATGCATCACGTAGTAAATTCCATCTCTCAAGAAGTATGAAAGTACTGATGTGAACTTGTTGGTCCTTTCTGAACGTTCTTCAACCAAACCCAAACACACTCTCACTCCCCAAACATAAAAGGTGAGCATCCATGGCTGTACCAATCCACCATCTGTGGGTGGTGTCTATACCTTCACTGTCCTACAGACATCACAAAATTTTGGACACTTTGCTCAATTTTTTTTCAAAGGGAATTCATCGCTATAAGATGATGTTAAATGGAAGGCCAGTTGTGACAAGGAAGCATAAACTACCTTTACATCAGTCTTGGAAGGGAGAAACTTATTATAGAGCTTACATTAGAACTCACTCCCAGAAAAGCAAACATTTAGTGGAGAGCTATTGGTGTCATACTTTGGTAATATCAGCAAACCATTTCTTTTATATATTTAAAAAAATATATCCTAATGCATTTTTGACCTAGGAAAACTTCTATCAAAACCAAAATATAACTATGATTCTAACATTCTTGAAGAACAAAATTAATCTGTCTGACCATTTAAAAAATGGTTAAATAAATGTTGATGTACCTACAACTTATCTTTGATAATTCTGATGATTACAATAGTACATTTAAAAAAGATAAGCAAGGATTCATCTTCAGTAGCAAACTTTGTCTTCAACTTACTGAAACAAAACACATTGGTGTGTGCCATATGGTAAAAAGATACATATTATCATCAAAAAGTAAATGCAAATGCTATTTTATTATTCCCAAATGTTTTTAAGCTAATGCTAGCTCATTTTTAAATCACATAAGGTGCTTTGAAGAGCTTGGGAGAACTACAGTTGCTTTTATTTTGATTTTTATTTAAGGTTATCTCAGCCTCTCAAAAAGCTAACCACTCTGAAACTACCTTTTTCAATCACAATAATTAAGGCCTTGCTTTATGGCATCCAATCATGATATGAGAGGCTTAGGTTGTGGTCGAGAAGCTTTACAGAAATGCATTTCCAGACTAAATCTTCCTCTAAAATAGTTTGTCAGCCTTACATAGACAAATAATGAAATTCTGTCCTTGACTCAGCCTAGTTCAATTCACGTAATATGTCAGATTAGCCACCATTCCAAAGGTGCCTTCACAGAGGATTAAATCACCTAGTTATTCCAGAATTTAGGGAGACACACACACACACACACACACCAAAAAATAGAAAATAAAAAGAAAAAAGGAATTATGATGAATCCTGTTTATTCAATAAAAGACTTCAAAGGAGGTTTGCTTAAATTAATGATCATCATATATCAGTGTTCATCCATAAATCTGAAGTAGTAAGGTGCAAAATTCTGCTGTTCTTCAGGGGTACTGTCTGGGAGTACCTGAAATCAGTGGGAGCCTTACAAGTGTTATCAGGGAAGAACTGGTCCAGGGAAGGGTTCTTGCAGGGGGGTACCACAGGACATCTCCTGTTTTCCTCCTGACAGCAGCAAGTCTGCAGCTGTTGGTGGTAGAGTTGAATGACACAATGATGTGTAAAAGGAAGAGTAAGATATTCTATGGCTGAAAGTTATAAAAACTACACACCAGTGCTTTTTCATCTACCTAGATTTAAAATTATGAAGGCATTTGCATGCATACATCTATCATTCCCTACTGGAGTTGTTTTCCACTTCCTATTTTTTTTTTTTTTTCATTTTTTTAATTACAGAGTCTACTTCCATTTTTACAAGTACTTCCAAGCAGGTCATCTGAGAGGAATGTACCCTTAGTAGCTCAAATTAACTTTTTTTTTCCTTGCATTATTTAAAAGTAGACTTCAGATCGTGACTATTTATTCTAAGAGTAATAAGCAAAGGACCAGATGCTAGAGTCTTTTCAATTACAGAAACATTTAAAGACAGCTGTACCATATAAACTCTCATGGAGGAATCATATGCTTGCAGCATCTGGTGAGTTTTGGCCATGCCTCCAGCACGCTGTATCTGTTCTGAGGCACGAGCTAGGGTGAGGCTTACTTTGCCATGTGTGTTTTTGGGGTAGAGGTCTGCAGGTTTTTGACCCTAAATGAGGAATAACACTTCAGGTCTTACATTTAGTGGCAGGAAATAAACACTACTTGACACCTTTTATAGAAGAGTCAAAGGGGCTGGCGCTAAATTGATATGACTACCTTACATTAATTATTTTACCAGAACAAAATACCAGGATTTTTTTATCCAGAAGAGAGCATCCTGTACTCCTGAATTTCCTTCCATTTCATCCCACTTGCACAAACATGAAGATTATATTTCTGAGAACATTGTTCTGATGAGTCACGTTCCTGGTAGTGTGAAAGCACATCCAGAAAATAACCATGCTGGAGTCCCTGCTCATCAACTGGCAGGAGAAAGCAGCAGCAGAGCAGGTACTGCACTGCACAAGCACTGCTCCTACTTGGGGGTATGCAAAGATAATGTCTGAGAAGGTTATAGGCATGCAGCTGGAGCTGTTCAGAACACTCATTTTCCTTTCAGAATTTTTCTCTGACAAAGCTGAATTCCCCATGTCAGCAGCAAGAGATTGAAAGAGGACTGAAGAATCATGCCCTCTCTCACCCTCTGCTTTCAGGAGTTACTCTCAGTGACAATTTTGCTTCACAGCCCCATTTTGCTGGCTGGCTAACACGAGCTCTGGGTAACCCTTTGCCATGGTTCTCAGGCTGACACAAGCCATGTTGTTGAAACAGTATGTTCCAAAATGAAATGAACAGTACGTACGAATTATACACACACGATCTGGCAGCCAATACCACACTGCACATGAATAAAGTTCTGGAGAGGACCATTAGGAAGCACCTAAAAAAGCAAAGCTTAAGTGTCCTGCGTTTCCCCTTCAAAATAACACAGGTGCTGGACAAACATTTTAAAATATATGAACACTTTAATTAAGTATTAAAATTACAATAATATTCTTTAGTAAAAATGATACTAGGTGCTCTGACTCAAGTACAGGAAACTGCTGTGCTAAGCTAAACTGTGCATCTCATGTATTTTTATTGAAT